GCAATAACACAATAACCATAACGCGTTGTTCATTATAAACGCGGGATTGTGAATTATATTGAGAATGTCGTACATTGAAAACATGCCGTAAGTGTAAACCTTAGCGCATTCATCGTGAAGCGTGCAAGCGATTTGCAAAGATTAATATAAAGATTAATAAAACACTCACTTCTTCTGGAGGTGCAGAGGGGACACGAATAGTTGGTGCCGATTCTTTTTTCAGGAGCAGCTTCTTAGCAAAACCAGCTTTATAGTGATCCTCGTTTATAAAGCAGTCTGGTGAGAAATGATTCGCGCAAACATGAACGCATTGACGTTGCTCGTGGGGAATATTCTGTTCGAAAACAAAACTCAGCCACTGCGTCTTCAGAGGTTCGGATTTAGGAATATCAGAATGACTGTGTTCGTTATTACACCCAAGAACAGAACAACACAATCTCTTAGACGCCATTCTGCTCCAGCGTATCAACAATGGTGGACTATGACGACAGCTCGCTCAGGGCGGGGATGTGTTGAAACGCTGTTGTCAATCAACAATCGTGGGCGGGGCGTCCGATGTAGTCGAACGGCTCGATTTGAGGCAGGGGAAAACATATGAGGAGATCAAAACAAAAACACTTGATGGATTTTTGTCATTATATGATGGTTATGTAAAAGTGCATGTGCCATTATATGACCCCTTTAACATTTAGAATTTATGAATTATATGGTGTCAGAGTGTATAAAAACCCTAAATTGATGATTGATTTAGTCAGTGTTTTAAGTCAATATAGTAATGCTATAGAATGCAAACGCACACTTGAGAGCATGTAAATCAGGTATCATATCTTGCAAGTGAAAATGATAGAGGCAATTAAAGTATTTTTGTAGAAGACTTGAGCTGCTGTCTCTTGTTCCATTTCCCCCCCCCCTTTCTAACTATTCTGCAGGGGAAGAGAAAAAAACATCACATTAAATTGCCTCTTCCTCCTCAGCAACACATTGTAAAATTTGCATTTTATAATTGCCTCTATTTTGTAAGATTAGGAAAGAGCCAACAGTCTGACCAACAATCTTATAGCTTTAGATACAAATGTATAAATGGTTCTAACATAATGTGCTGTTGATTTCCTGCGGTTTTCACCACCAGAACTCCAAAACACATTTATTAAATAATAAAATAATTAACATCGGTGATAAAAGTTCACAGGTTCAACATCAGAATGGTATATTGTTTTATCAAATATGACAAGTATTGGATGAAAACGACAAAATATTTTGTAGAATTGCATATTGTTCATGAGCACTTGTTCAATGCATCTTAATTTTAATAGTTTATCCTCAAATATAGATCACATACACAAAGACACAAATAAATTATGTTTAAATAAAAAGATTTCTATAATATTTCTGCTTCTCGTTTTCCTTTTTTTGTTGCACATTTTACATTAATATCCCTCCACTTCTGCTTTCTGCTGCTGAATTTCAGTTTACTGTAGTTTGAACTGTTTAATATCTGTTAACACTTTATTTGATTGCTCCCCGACAGACATTCTGTCAGTAAATTACCCTCCAAATTCATGTCACTTACTGTGGCAAACTTCACCTTAACCCACCAGTCGACTAATACTCGAATGAGAGTTAGTTGACATGTATTGCAGAGTTGCTTGTAGTTAGTAGACTGTCTAAAGTGGTCTTTGAAATAAAGTGAAACTGAAATCGCCCTGTCCTCACTTGAAGCATATACATATGTAATGTATGTTTCCTCTTTTGTTTTTGTTAAAGCTACAACATGTAGCTTTTTTGGCCACAAGAGGGCGTAGTTTCCAACAATAACACAGGCGTAGGTTGAAGACACAGTGATGAGCAGAATGATGGGACTTGCTGTCAAACTGATGGATCTAATAACGTTAATGGATTAGTGAAAACACTCATGTTTTTTTAACATTACAGTGATATGAAGCAGTTTGCGATTGCTAATAAGAGACATATATCACACACGAGTTCCACGGATATATAGGAATAAGGGCGTTTCATTAAATTAAACTTGTGAGGGAAACACCCCAGATAGCAAACTGACATTGAATCAACGTGGAAATATGACATCGAAACAACGTTGATCTGACATTGTTTTGCTCATCGAATTAACGTTGAACCAACGTCAGACGCGTCATTCTTTCAAAACTAACGGAAAATCAACTTGAAATCAACGCGTTGTTTCAACGTTATGAAACCAAACCAATTTTCGATTTTCATTTAGCTTTGAAGAATGCCGCGTCTGACGTTGGTTCATCGTTAATTCGATGAGCAAAATCAACGTTGTTTCAATGTCATGAGAGACGTCGTTTCCACGTTGATTCAATGTCAGTTTGCTGTCTGGGACAGCGCTGTTCCACTTGGTATAACGTTACACTATCACACTAAACGGCATTTAAATGTGTCTTGAAAGTTATTCTACGTGTTAGTTTGTTTGCAAAACGAAACTAGCAGCTAGATCAACATAAGAATAACATACTGACCATATTCTAACATTTCATCATGTCAAGCTAACGTTATAACACCGATTTGTTTTATGTACATTTGCTCACCTGTCTAATAAAGTCGTGACTCGTGATGTTCTGTCAATTTCAAATTAGTCGCGGACGCTAGCTCTCTGTCAAGTGGAAGTCAGTCTCGGACGCTAGCTCTCGGCATCTCAGAAACGCCTCGCTGATGTTGATCCTCATTTTAGTTCTCCTTGTTTGTCCCAAAGTCTGCTTGCCATGTCTAAGTTTGAACGAAACAAGAACTGGGTGCCGCTAAACGTTACTCATACGCAGTTGTCCACGTCTGTCACCATGGTTACGTCATGGCTATGGCAGTACGAGCGGAGGATAGCGCGGATATTGCGTCATTGACAGGCGACAATTTTTTTTCTGGGACGGCCACTTATTTAAAATTGGAATTTCTCTGAAATAAAAGAACTTTGGAGACTTTTGGGATATTGTAAGTACACAACTGCAGGAAATATATCACACTGTGCAAGGGACTTTTGGATATTTTATTACAAAATTCTTACATATTGGACCTTTAAATATATTTTCTTAACTTTTTGTTGATGATTTTAGTTGATGGGTTCTTAATGTTGATTCTGCAACATGACATCATGACTTTTGCGTAAACATACACGCCACTTTCGAGTCGTGTTATCTCTGGCGTGTTATCTCTACGCATTTTGAGCTATCCGCGTGTATGCGTGTATGTCTACGCCATTAACGTCCACGTCATTCTACGTGTCTGTACACGCCGTCAAATCTCCAGTCATAAATGCCATTAACCCCAGTGACGGTTAGGTTTAGGGACGGGGTTGAGGTAAGTCATATAAGTCAACGGCGTTCATAAACACGCTGAAAGTCGATTATACGTCTTGATAGCACGCCAAAAATGGAAATACGAATTGGCGTGTCATACACACACTACTTCATGAGATCAGTCTGGATCTTAAATATCTTGATGTTGAAATATCTAAATATCTTGATATTCTGTATCCAATTTGTCATTGACTTATTCACAACTTTCTGACCATGTTGTTGGATCCAAAGAACATTTTTACTGTTGTTCTTTCATGAACGTGTTTTTAATTGAAGTATCAATATCTAATTATATCTGATTTATCCTAAAACTATTTTAATTTTTATTATTCCTGTGGCATACAATTGTCCAATAGATTTCCATCAGTGCAAATAAGGGAAGAGTGAATATTCTGTCTTGTGGTGAAATCAATATGATGCTATACACAGAGCATTACTCAAGTTTAACCCAGAGTCTCGTATGTGTGGCTCAATTTTAAACATCAAAGTTTGTGTCGGCAATAATAAGCTAGTTGCTAATGTTCTGTTATTGGCTATTGTGGAGGATGTCGATATGAAGAAAGCAGATCATTGGGTAAGAAACTGATCGTAAAAAGCACTTTATGATTTCATATCTTCACATCATTCACAAACGAAGTCCGATCGTTCACAAAAGCACAAAGTACTTCCAGTGAGCAGCGAGATGAAATTATGCATAGCACAAACTGCACATTTACCTTTTCGTGTATTAGTGTTGATTTTATACTTATTGTTGCTCTTATTCATTTCCAAACAAATCTGAATAAATCATAAGGCTTTATAAAGGATGAGGCTGTTGAATAAAGTGAATGTTAATAATTTACCAAGTTGAATTGCAAGATGACAATCACACTTTTGCTTGCTTCACCGTTAAACAGAAAACACCACCATTTGTTTCTTGTTTGGAGAGGTGTGTGTGTGTGTACACCTCTCATATAGTCCCCACATCCCAGCTAACAGGGAACGTTCCCAGAACATTCACTAACGTTCTTTAAAAGTTGTGTAAATGTTAGGACAAAACGTTATTAAAATAATGTTTTCGGAACGTTCATATAACATTATTAACGTTCTTGTAACGTTGAGAGAAAACGTTCTTAGAACAACGTTCTTGGAACGTCTTTATCACGTTATTTGTATTTGATGAACGTTCTCATAACGTTCCAGCAACATTATGCTAACCTTAGGATAACGTTCTAACAACATTATGCTAACGTTCCAGCAACGTTCTGCAAACATTAAGACACCGTTCCAGCAACGTTAAGCAAACTGGACATTTCCACGTTTTTAGAACATTTTAAATTAACGTTCCCACAACCAAAATGGAACGTTAGAAAAACGTTCTCAGAACCTAACTTTGTTAGCTGGGAATATAGCGTGTGTTGTGTGTGTTTAATTGGCCATACGACCATACAGGATTTGAATCTGAAGGAAAATAATATGCATCAATAAATCATGCAGCATCCTGACAGGAGGAAGAAATCTGCCACGGAGAAATGGCTTTTGTAATTTTGTTGTGCATCCGCACACCAGCACAATCATCTCATCCCATCTCCATTTCCACCTTTCACCCCTGTCATCCATCACCCCACTGACCTCTCCGGGATGAGTGTTTAGACGTGATCTGTGAACATCTGTGTTCTTCTGTGTGCGCAGAGATCCTTCTGCAGTGCCATGGTGGACGAGCTGCGGGTTTCCCTCAAGTGCCAGCGCCGGCTCAAACACAAGCCTCAGCCGCCCGTCATGGTCAAAACCGATGAAGTCATCAACATGCACACCTTCAACGACCGGAGACTGCCGGGCAAAGAGACCATGGCTTAAAACGGACACCAGCTCGCTCTTTCCTGAGCCTGGAGACGGGGAGAAATGTGGGGCGGGGAGGATGGCGGTTTTCTATACGGGGAAGGGATCTTAAATGTCATTTCAAACAATTAGCAATTGAAAACAACAGCAGAAACTGAAACATATTTCCTGTGGAAATTACTTGAATCTGGGCAAAATTTGAGTTCCCTCATGGCACCAGATCACCATCAGAGCAAAGACTGAGCGGTAACTTTTAGCAGGAAATACACACAGCTAGAGGAGTGTGATGGAGGGAGGTTTGTCTGCTCATTATGTTCCTGTTATTTTTGGTTTGATGACGCTCTCGGCTGTTGTCCGTCCACAGAGATCAGTCGAGTCCTTTAGAGAGAACGAGGAGACGGGTCCCGATAAACACGGAAGATTTGAATACATACGGTACCTGTGCTACTTTTAGGAGCCGCTCGGAAACGGTTCGCACGACTGTTTTCTGAGCGCCACAGCAATATCACTGAAATTATTCAACAGGTTTCTCAGACACACACACACACACAAGCAATGGAAGCAGGACAGAGCGACAGGCAATACACCACTTTCATTTGTTGCCATTTTCAGGTCCCCTGCTGAACGTCACCACGACTAACGATGAACCTCACGGAAACACGCCAGGCCCAAAACACAAGTCTAATGAAAATCTATTTTAAAAATGCCTTTTTTCAGAACCATTGCGTAAACAAATTAAAGGAGTAGTTCACTTTTGAAAAAAAAAACTTTAGTTGATAATTTACTCACCCCCATGTCATCCAAGATGTCCATGTCTTTCTTTCTTCAGTTGAAAAGAAATTAAGGTTTTTGATGAAAACATTACAGGATTTTCTCCATATAATGGACTTCAATGGGAACCAAACAGTTCAAGGTCCAAAAGACAGTTTCAGTGCAAACTGTTCAAAGGGCTTTAAACGACACCAGACAATGAATAAGGGTCTCAGCAAGTGAAACGATCAATTTTATAAGCCCAAATGCTCGCCTTGCTCTTACAAAATCAACGAGTCTTTTTCCAAGTCAATTCGTTCATTTCGTTCGTTGAATGAAACAAATGACTCGGAAAAAGATTCGTTCATTTTGATGAACAAGTTCGAATAGGAGAGTCACACTAGGCAAACTTTTGAGCTTATAAAACTTAAACATTTTCTTTTAAAAGAGCGATCGTTTCGCTTGATAAGACCCTTATTCATCGCCTGGAATCGTTTAAAGTCCTTTGAACAGTTTGCACTGATACTGTCTTTTGGACCTTGAACCGTTTGGTTCCCATTGAAGTCCATTATATGGAGAAAATCCTGGAATGTTTTTATCAAAAACCTTACTTTCTTTTCGACTGAAGAAAGAATGACATGGACATCTTGGATGACATGGGGGTGAGTAAATTATCAGCAAACATTTTTTTTTTAAAAGTGAAATACTCCATAAAGCGTATTGCACAATTAAGCAATTTCTGTTCAGATTTGCATAAAAATGTCGTTTTTTGTTCAGTAAAAAGCTACTTAAAATTTAGAGGAGCAAAAGTGCATAAGAAAATACAACTTAAATTATATCTGCAATGTGAAACCCTATTGATTTTTCTTTTGTTGTTTTACACAAACCCCCTTTTTTGTATATTACATTATACTGATTAGTGATTCGCATTACAGAATATATAATGCAGTCAGCATTAAAGGCAGTAAAATGAGTGGTAACAAATATAAAATATAAATTACATATATTTTATAGTAGTGAGTTTTTTTTTTCTTTGTTTGTTTTTATGCTTTGTAGTAAAAAAAAGACATAAATATTTTAACTGTCATGACAATAATATCACAAAAGAATAAATAAAAGTGATGGTCCTAAAATAGGATTAATTTCATTTATGCTATAATACATATTGTTATTGATTTTTTTTCATGAGCTTCACTTGCAAAACTCTCCAAAATTTGGATAAATTCCTTAAACAAATTGCAAAATATTTATTCAAACATGTATCGTTTGGTTTCTCTCTCTCTCCTATGATGGTCACAGCAACTATAAACGCACCTAGCTGATATTAATATTTTGTCTGTATTTATTTTTTCTCTGATAATCACACTTCATTTTAATGTCACATGTTTGTACTTTGTGATTTCAGAAACAGAATCCTCATGTAAACTTGTGCAAGTGTAAGATTTCTATAAAAAAATAATAATAAGGTGTTTTGTACAATTAAAGAATATCAACATTTTGTAATAATTTTTATCAACACAAATCAATCATTGGCATCTCTCTCTCGACACGAGTTTCGGGTCGTGGCGGGGCGATGCGCTTCCCCACGGATGAGCCCCATGTGACGGATCATTTCACCTGGCCTCCATGAGGACACGTTTGTGCCAGCGCTCGTGACACACACACACACACACACACACACACACACACACACACACACGGGATGGGGAAGTGTCCAGCATGCCTGGTAGTGTTGATGTGACACACACATTTTGGACAGATCCTATTTTTATCATGTAAAGGAAACATATTTAAAGAAAGATATTTTTACTTGAGATTAATAGAAACGACAAACTGATTGAGAAGTGTGACATATACATATATAAAGAGAAGAGGCCTGCTAATGTGCTTCATATTCAATGCCCCCGGTTTCTAATAGACTGCTAGTACTCAGTGCCGAGACGTTGTGTGTAAATGGTTTCAAATGGATACGATGTATTTAAAGATTTTTTCAGATACAAACTAATTTTGACCATATTGTGAAAACAAAATGAAGTGCACACAGTTTCCTGTCTTAAGTTGATGCACAAGTTTCAAGGAAGTAATAAAAAAGTTAGCACACTTGGGTTGTGGCTTCCTTTGTTTTCCATCACTCATTCCCACATAATCACCTCGAGGACTCGATTTAGCTTCACAACACTGAGCAAACTTGAAATGGCTCTGGAACAAGAATGAATGTAGTCTTGATTTTGATTTGATGATGCTGAAAATTCAGCTTCGAAGACAGGAATCAATTACATTTGACTATATTCACATAGAAAACTAGGGAAGCGTATTGCATTCACTTGAGGAAAAAAAATCTACTTTTTTAATTAACAAGTGAATTATCTCAGAACTACGAGATTTTGTTTCATGTAAAAAAAGTTTTTGCTCTGTTTCTCTGAATTAACCAGTTAATTATCTCAGAATTACGAGATTTTTTTTTTCATGAAAAAAAGTTTTTGCTCTGTTTTTCTGAATTAACGAGTTAATTATCTCAGAATTACAATAATTTTTTCGTGGAAAAAAATGTTTAGCTCTATTTTTCTGAATTTATGAGATAATTAGCTCAGAATTATGAGATTTTTTTCATGGAAAAAAGTTTTTGCTCTGTTTTTCAGAATTTGAGTTAATTATCTCAGAATTATGAGACAATTTTTCATGGAAAAAAATGTTGAGCTCTATTTTTCTGAATTTATGAGTTAATTATCTCAAAATTACGAGATTGTTTTTCCTTGTAAATAAAGTTTTTGCTCTGTTTTTCTGAATTATTAAGTTAATTATCTCAGAATTACGAGGCAAATTTTCATGTAAATAAAGTTTTTGCTCTGTTTTTCTGAATTAACGAGTTAATTATCTCAGAATTATGAGACAATTTGTCATGAAAAAAAATGTTTTAGCTCTGTTTTTCTGAATTTATGAGTTAATTGTCTCAGAATTGCAAGATCATTTTTCATGGAAAAAAAATGTTTTAGCTCTGTTTTTCTGAATTTATGAGTTAATTGTCTCAGAACTGTTAGATTGTCTCATAATTACGAGATACTTTTTTCATCTCAAACTATCTCGAAATTATGAGAAAGTCATTAATTCATAAAAACAGAGTGAAAAAAATGTTTTCCAAAAAAAATGTATCTCATAATATTAACTAATTCGGAAAAACAGAGCAGAAATTTTTTCATGAAAATGTCATAATTCTTATGAGAGAATTAATAATTTTCTGAGATAATTAACTCAGGAATAAAAAAAACTGTAGGAGTAGATTTTTTTTTCGTTAAGTGAATAAAATACACTTCCATAGAAAACAGCTAATTTAAATTGTAATACTATTAGCATTACATACAAATACAAAGCATAACTCTCAAATACGTAAATAAATGCAGCCTTTGTGAGCAGAAGAGACATCATTCCAAAACATTAAGAAATGTGAAATATTCTAAAATTTTAATAAGTAAATGGTAGTGTAAATTCTCACATTCAGTTTTGAAACACTGATTTTGATACATGACAGTCATGTCCATCTATACTCATTAAAACGGCTAATTGATAAATAGGATTTGACTTGATGAGAAGGATGCCAAGGGACAAAGCTTACTTGTGATGTCTAGATTCTTGTGCTCTCGCATCCACTATGCTAATTAGCCAATTAATTCTATGTGGCATTAATGTTTGTTATCAGTTGCTGAGCTTTCACTCGCCCCGCCGGAAGCGTGAAGATTAGCGGCCAGCTAAACCACCTCGTGTGAACACATCAATCTGATAATGGAATTGCTGAGAATGGGCAACAGGGCCACACACACACACACACACGCACACACACAAGACAAAATGATGGTCTGCTGAAAGCTACACTAGTCTCATGGATCCATCATTTTTTTCCTGCACAAATGTATTTTCTGACATTGAAAAATTGAAAGTGCTTTAATGAGCTAGTTTTTCAGCATTGGGAAAATAGCCCACAATATATGTTAACACAAATAAAAACTGATTAGAGATTTGAAGAATTGGTTCATATAAATGCTTTGCACCAAAAAACATTTTTTGTAAGTAAAAATGAATTCCCTTTTAATGAAGTATGTATAATGATAATAATGAATATATAACTGCACATGGCACTTAAAACGGTAATTCGTTTTTACTTGCACAAATGTTTCTCGTATAAATAACTACAATTAAAACTGTATTTAATGTTTAAAAGTTAAATGCAATAATACATTTACTAAACTTAAATTGTATTATTATAAAACATTTTCTAAAGCATATGAAAAATAAATTTTTAGTAAAACCACCACAGCATAACACCACTTTTAGAGAAAATATGGACTTCTGCGAGAGGACAAAAGCATTGAAAAATATTTTTTTTTCCTCCATAATGTCCCTTTAGGGGCTCCGTAGATTACAAGTTTGATTTGAAGAGAGAGAGAGAGAGAGAGACAGACTGTGCACTTACATTTTTACATCAGAAAATGAATCACTCTTCCCATGAAGCATTATGAATGACATAATGAAATCATGTGATGGTTTCACACGTGATAGATTTACACTTTTTTATGATGGGCGGTCACTTCTGAGCTCTTGTGGCACCATTTATATTTCCATGGTAACAGCGACATCTCTGATTGGCCGGTCGCTCTTTGAGGTTATGGGTAGTGTAGTTCTTCACACGGCATTGTTCAATAAAACACAATAACAAGCTATGAAATCATGGTGATATCCTTAAAAATCGATATGTCTATTAGAGAAAGGAAATGGAAGATTTAGCGCCAACCGTTGTGTTCATAACAAACCACCACTGACGCCAAACTCCAAACTGAGAGGCTGTGCCAGTGTATCAAGACCCCTTTCTCCGTCTATTCCTTGTAAAACACAGAAATCCCAACAGCACAGAAGCACCATAGGTTAAGGTCACGGAGACAGAAAGTGACACAAATGTTGATTCTTTCCTGAATCCCGAGACATCAGTGCTACAGACATAATCCCAAATTACACTTGAGCTAGGACCTCCCGAAGCCCGCGGGGCGTGACAGATTACACTAAACCT